TTTTTGACGCATGCTAATCAGCTGTAAATAAGATAGGTTGAATTTCAGCTGATTCTTGGCCGATTTCTAGTGTATGCTAATCAGCTAGGCTGATTTTTTGATAATTTGCTGAATTTAGGCCAAATTTAGGCTGATTTTTCGCATATCTGATTTTTTTGATTTTGACTAATGAATAGCATATAAAAATAAATAATTATTTTAAAATATATTAAAAAAAATCTAATTTCGTAAATGATAAGAAATAAACTAAAAATAATGCTGTTTTTTAAAAAAATATTTCTAGTGTCATCTGAAATCATAGATGAAAATAAAGTTGAGACAATTATAAAAGGAAATAAAAGCATGGTAAAAAATTTCCACAAAATATAATAATATAATCTTCTAAAGGTATTTCATTTAAAATTCAATAATACCTTAACATTCTAACTACCATAAAACATTTATTCATCAAAAGTAATGAATATGTTATATTTTAATAGCATTAATAACTTCTTTTAGTAATTGTAATTAGATTTATACTTTGTAAATTCTAGGCAAGTAACAACTAAATTAATAAACGTACTAACTTTGATATTTTCTAATAATAGAAGATAGAAAAAATATAAGTTTTTCAAACCCTATAAAAATTTTTTTTTCATGATTTGAATCTGTATTTATTTTATATTTTAAGTCAGTGATTTTTTTGTCAATTATAATAACTAAATTAATTCGTACTTTTTTCATATATGTAGCATATTTCACGAAATTAATAATTATAAAAAAAGGAAATTTTACTAATTTTACTGAAAATAATATAGATATATAATAAAAAAATACTGTAATTTTATTGAATAATAAAGCTAATATTTATCAGAAAAAATACTGTAATTTTATTAAATATTATATGGATGTATAACAAATAAAATACCGTGAATATTATATAGATGTATAATGGAAAAAATACTGTAGTTTTTTATAGGTATATAAGCAATATAATTGAAAAATCATGTAATTATTATATAATAATATGTATATATAATGGAAAAAAAGCTGAATATATATTTCAATAAAAAAAAATAAAAAAACTAACAAATTTACCAAAATACATAGATTATTCTTTTATACTCTTAATTCTTTTACTAGTTTTTTGTATATAATTTTCTGAAATATTTTCAATTGTTTTCTTTCTTTTGCTTTTTTTACCTATTAATAAAAAATTTAAACTTATATATGTGTAAAAAGAAATAATAAATTTGTATAATATTTATTATACTATATTTTTTGGAACTTCATCAGATACTTTCAGAATGTCAGTTTCTTTTGAAATTTCAAATTCTTTTATAGCAGCTTCTAGTATTACTGAAGTAGTCACTTTTTTAATCAATATTCAATGATAATAAAATTAAATTATTTATAATTAAAGATAAAATAAATTTAAATGTTAAATACCTAAGTTTTCAGTGACTTGCAAGCTATCATTATTTATTTCATGTATAGAATTATATATTTTATACTTTAATTTAAGGGAAGGTCAAATATTCTTCTTTTTTGATGATAATAAAAACCCTTTGCCTTTTACTTTTGCAACCTTTTTTTTTTTTTTTCCTAATCAACTATAATAGTATTATAAATATATTAATTTATTAAAACTATTATTAAAAATATTTAAAATTTACTTATACTATTACAATATGTGGTAAGCCAATCATAAATAATAAAATCAGTTTTAAATACTGAAAATATTAAATTGACTACTTTAAACTATATTTAGAATTAATATTAATATTTATTTTTTATAATTAAATTTTAAGTTACTTATATTATTGATAACCTCTCCAACTCTTCAATTTAGTTAACAAATAAGACTTTATCACATGTGAAATAAGAAGCAGCATGATTATTTAAATTATTCTATAATAATATATAGATTTTATACTTTTTATATAAAATTAATTATATAATTAAAAAGATAACTAATACTTACTCTAAAATTTAAATATTGACCTTTATTGAGTTTTAAAAACTCATATTAATTAAATATTTTTTGATTACTTTTTTGGACTCCTTATAGTTCTCATAATCTTCAAGCTTAATTGAATTCATTATAGAGTTTATTGAAAACTATTATAGTATTCGTTATCAATAGATTTATAAATTTTTATTTTAATTTTTTACTTGCTCATTTGTAATATCATATACAGCACTACATGTATCTAAAAGTAATGAGGAATAATAGTAATTAGTATAATATACAAACAATAGCATTATTCAGAATTTAAAATTTTAGGTAAAGTTAGATTAACATTAAGTAAAGCAAGAAAAAGGTGTTGATGTTCTTCAGAAATAAGTGTAAATATATTAATTAAAGTATTATTTTGCATTTTTAAATCTTTAAATAAATTTTTAAAAGTTAATATATTATAAAAGAATCAGAAATAAAGAAAGGATAACATGTTATATAAAAAGAAATAATGTTTATTTTATATATATTTATTAAAAGTATTTTAAAAATTATTTATGTTATTGTATTTAATGATACTTTTTCTAATACTTTTACTTTAACTTTATATAATTTTACATTTAATATTAGTATAATAATAATATTAGTAATTAATTTAATATTATATATAAATTAAGTTGATCAATATTATGATATTTTTTATTTATTATATTTAATTCTTTTTAATAAATATTTTGAATATTTTTTTAAACAAATGGTTGATTAAGTTCTTTGCACCTATATTTAATGCTTACAAAAATCAAATAACTAGAAAAAAATAGTTAGTTGAGCTACTCATGTAAGACATATAAAAAAGCAAAAAAATATTTAAACTAATCAAAATGATATACATGTATCGCAAAAATGTCTAGTAACTTCTGTTTTTTCTACTAATATTTTAAAACTAAATCAAAATGAAAGAGATCATAATACTGAATCATCTAATAAAGATCTAATTAAAATATCAGATATGGAAGGAAATAATGATAATGAACATGGTGATAAATTATTTAATGAGAAACTAATTGATAGTAAAAATTATAATAAATGAAATTATGATGAATTATTTAATAAGAAACTAATTAATAGTAAAAAAGATTATGATGGATGAGATTATGATAAATTTTTTAATGAGAAACTGATTGATATTGAAGAAGATTATGATAGATAAGATTATGATGAGTTTTTAATGAGGATCTGATTGAAGTTTATAATGAATGAGATGATGAATTATTTAATGAGAATCCAATTGATAGTGAAGAAGATGATTATAACAAATAAAATTATAATGAAGTGATTTATAATAAAGAGATTTCAAAAGATTTAATTAAAGGATTACATCTTTTCAAAATTAGAGTTGAGCACAATATTTCAGAAGTTGCATTTAACAAAATTCTTAAAGCTCTAGAAATTCCTAAAATATCTCTTTTTAAACTTCATAAGCTTCTTAAAGATATTGTTTCATTAGAACTAACTCTTATAGATTGTTGCATTAATTCATGTATAGTATTCATTAGTAATAAAAATATTTGTTCAAATTGTAAGGAGTCTCATTATAATTCAGCTTATGAATATGCTATTGGTAATCAAATAGAAGATATTTTTAATGGACATCTAGTTTCTTCTGGATTTTTTTCAGATCATCAAGATATTGCATTAATAGTATTGACTGATGAATATCAAATTTTTCATCAAAAAAGAAATATAAAAACATAGCTGAACCACTTACTTGGCGTTGTCAATCTAATCATCAATGGCAAAATACACTTAATCACATTAAAAATGGAGGACAATGGTATCTATCCATTTTGTATTGGCCGATATCAATCTATTGAGGATATGCGTAAACTTGCGCAAATAAAAAATGGAGATTGCCTTTCAGATCGATACTATAATTCATCTGTCAAGCTAGAATGGATTTGTAAGAATAAACATAAATGGGAAGCTATTCCTAATAGTATTCAACAAGGAAGCTGGTGTCAATATTGCGCAGGTCATACAAATTTATCTCTTGAGGACGCGAAGCAAATTGCATTATCTAGACATGGGCAATGCCTTTCAACCAAGTATAAAAACAATCAATTACCACTATTATGGTGTTGCAAAGAGGGCCATATATGGCAAGCATCTCTCAGTAATGTGAAAAGTGGTACCTGGTGTCCATTTTGTTATAAATATAAATGCGAACAATTATGTCGAGAAATTGTAGCAAAGTATCTTGGTCCACCATCTAAAAATCGCAGACCAGATTTCTTGAAAATTCCTGAACACCCTAAAGGATTAGAACTTGATATTTATTATCTAGAATATGGCTTTGCAATCGAAGTGCAAGGAGAGCAACACGAAAATATATAGAGTTCTTTCATGGAGGAGATCCGAATAATTTTATTAAACAACAAGCAAGAGATCAAGAACCAGATTGCCTTAAGGTATGTTTGGTATTACGAAGACCCATGTATAGTTATACCAGAGCATCTTCGTGAGTTGGGTCTCATTGAATAAACTCAAAACTTTAAATGCTCCATAATCATTACGCGTGTTATTTTTCGTAAGTCATGTACGTTATATTTCAGAGAAAATTCCTCTAGTCCTGCAATCTAGATTTATTTTTTGTAACGGGTCTACCTTTCTACATTCGCAGAATCTAGAAAAAAAAGCATTGGGAGAATTCCTATACGAAATCATATCCCTGGGAAAACTAGAATTCTCTACTTTTCTAACGAATGATTTCCAACTGTACTTAGATTACTTTCACAAATAATTAGTAATGGAATCGAGAACTCTGAATTTCACAGATAACAGGTAGTAACACATGATAAATAGCAATTTAAGTTGTAGCAAATGAAAATAGAAATTCTTTATTATAATAAAATTAATCATACTAAAATAAAACGCGGTATAAAGTGCCCCCAAGCATATGTTAAATTAATTCAATCACGTTATAATTGTTACAAATGATTTTTTATTCCCTAGTTTTCTGATGCCTTTTGCTTTTCTTTCTGCTATTCTTCTCTATTTTGCCTTAGGGTGGTTGCTGTTTTAAAAATTCACGAATTTTAGCTAATCCTGTCAACACTGATCGTCTTCCACGTGGTGTAGCAAGATCAAAACCAGTGATCAAACCATTCTCAGCTGGCCATCTTTGAACTTTAACTTCTTCTTGTGGTAGACCCTTTGCTAATTCCCCCCAGTACTTTACGGGAATCGTAGTTTTATAAAAAGTAACATATGTAGTAATTACACGAACGGCCCATAATGTCTGATCTGTAGGACTCGCACCAAGAGAACGTATATTCTCACTGCCACAAGCAAGAATCTCTACAGCTATCTGTGATTCCCCAAAATTTGTGCCATACCCGACATTTTTTAGGTGCTTGTACTGTTAAAAAATTTGATTAGTCAATGAAAATAAGAACTGTTAAACAATCAACAACATACCACAAGGATAGCAAGGTTTCGCATCTTTATTACAAATTCAGAATCTGATGATACGCAAGGCTCGTCTTCAATGTATAGTTTGCATAGTGGGTGATTTCTAGATTGAGAGAATGAGAATGCAAAACCTTAGGAACCATTACATTTATTATAAACAGAATTTACTCACCTGATCTTTAAAGGCCAGTTATTCAGCTTAGTGATACGAAGTAGATCATCTACAAGTGTATCAGTAAAAGTTTCGTCGGTGCCTACTACCTGAACACCATTCAACACAACATCATGCAATTTATCAACAAACGTTTGAACTTCCTCATCCGTAAGTCCATCAATCTTTACAACATTGAATTTTGGATTTCCAAGCAATTCAGAATCGATATCGGGTAGAACATACTTTTCTGGAATGGTAGCTGGAAAATATATTTAAATTTTTATGTATTGGACTCGTTAAGATTGCTGATAACGATGTAGCTCTCACCTTCAATATCAGGTATAACAGCGTTCTCGGTTGAAGCTCCAAGGAAGTTAACTTTCAGTGCTTCCATATCTCGTATTTTGAACTTATATAACTTATATGCCGAAGAAGGTAAGTCTTCCACGCCATAAGAACTGAAAGTGGATCTAAGTCTAAGGTCATGGATGACGCTTGCAAGATCCGAATCTTGACTGGCAATACGTTCTGACCGTCGTTTAGGTGCAGAAGAGTTTTCACTCTCACTTTCATTTTTTCGTTTCCTTGAAGTCTTTTGTGTGATTTTTGCTAGAGAACTCCCACTCTCACTTTCGACATTTTTTGTGGTACTTTTTGGATGACTCTCACTTCCGACATTTTTCTTTTTGTTCTGTTTTTTTTCTTTTTTCGAAGACATCCCGTAACACAGTGTGACAAAAAATAGAAGCTATCGTGAGAAACGAAAAGTAGAGAAAAATTTTTTTTACACACGTTAGAAGAGTAAGCCACAATTATATCATGCATGCGGAATTTCTATGACCTTCCGTAGTACAGGTCGATTTGGCATTTTTTTTTGTCGATCATCACGATTTCTATCTAGATGATTACTCCAAAAAGGTGAGTTTATTGTATTTGACTTAGATAAGCCCAAGGATGATCCGAAAAAGGCGTCCAAGATTATTGACAAACACCTGCGAGATCGAAATTTTGTGGTCTTTGATTTCACTAAACCAGTAAACGATCCATTAGCGATTAGGTTAGGTTGAGATGCACCATTGATATTGAATGAGTAGAATCCGACTTCATAGATGCCAGCTCTTTTTCCGCCTCCCGCACCTTGATTTTTAATTAAATATACTTGCGTCGATTTTTTAAACTTCTCAGAACCACAATAACTATCGCTCGAAAATCGTTTGACAACATATACAGGGCGGTCAATAGAAAAGGGGAAATCTACAAATTTTGAGTAATTTTAGTTATTAAGCTAGTTTTGTTCACATGACCAT